CCGCATGTGGCTCGCGAGCTGCAGTTTGCCGACCACTGGATGTGGATGTCAAAGAAAGAGTCCTTGTTTAGATTCTTTTGAAGGATTTTGAGCATGACCAGTGCTGTTGCCCATCTAATAGACCCTGCTACAGATAATCAGCCTCAGTCTCGTGTGTGAATAGTTTGGCCTCTAGATTGGTTATGTTGCTGTTGAGAGTGGTCAGGCCAATGTTGCAGCTGGATACCCTTTTCTGATCTATTTTAGCATGGAGATATTTGTCTTTACATGTTGCCTGTTCTATCTCTGTGGATCTCTCTCTTCGAAACTGGGGTAAGTGGGACAAGAACTAATGGTAACACTCGCTATTCTCTTCCTACCATTCCAATACCTTTCTAATGTCTGTGGTGAGAATAAAATTAGGGAGAACGTGTGGCTATCTTTTTATGCTTGCCACTTTGTTTGGTCTACATTCCTTCTAGGTTATAATTTCTCTGTAATCTAGGCAAACAGAGTACTGTTAACTTTATGTGATTCAATCTGATTTACCATAGTGCAGGGATCCACATAGGAGGAGTATTAAATCTTCAAAATAGTAAAGTGTTGCCATGTGGATATAGCTCCTTTTGTCACAGCTACTAGACATTATGAATTCTAGAACTGATAGTGTTTGCATCTTTACTTGAGTCACTGGGAAACTCAGAGCAAAATTTGTGAACCACTTTGAGTAAGTGGAAGGATCTTTTGGTACACATTTAAGGTATTGGCCTTAGCTTTAAATTATTTTCCTTTCCCTGTGATTTTCTAATTTATTCTATTTTTCAGTTGTGATTTTAATGAAGTTAACTCAACTCCAGTATATGTGCTGCTGAAGTAAGCACAAGCTAACTCAACTCTAATCAGAGAGTTAGAACTAATAATAATAATTATTATGTGTAAAAATATGAGAACTAAGCAGTAATCTATAATACCAGCTGGTTAATCACAGAAAGGAGAAGATCAAGACTGCTGTACTGTATTGGAAACTGTAAGCTATGTGGAATGGGTTGCAAGATCTTAAAAGAAATGCAAATAGGATGGATCAAATACATGAGGGCATAAATGAGAAAGCACTGGGCAGGCCTCAAAGATTCAGGGCACTAAATAAAGAGCCATGGAGGTCCTACCGCTTGACCGCCTGACATCATCTCATCCTGGACACTAATTTGAAAATGCTTCCACGATGACTTGAATTCATCCTTTATATCACCTCTCTTTAAATCTCAAGAAAAGATCTTGGATCACAAATGACGGAGCCCAAAATGTTTATGCATTGTTTTCCATTTCTCGGCTGTCAAATTGATTTTAACTAATTGGAAAGTCTTCTCTCAGATCTTATTCATGGAGCCACTAAATATAATGTGCATAGCATTAAACTGTGTAAAACATGCACTAAGGCAGGCTGATCTGATAAAAGACAAATATACTCTGTTGAATCCCTTAAATTAGAGTAGCTTCTAACAGACATCGAGGCACTACAGAATAAAAGAACATTTAAGGCATTATACCTTTAGAAAAAAGTACAAAGGTTAACTTACAGGACACAAACATAAAAGCCCTATAATTCTATAGAAACACCATTCTATGTTAGCTGGAAAATACTGAAGTCTTGCTTGCATTATTTAATCTTAACTCTGATCAATCACCCTTCTGGTTTATTATTAAATTATCTGTCCTATACTGTAGTCTATAAAATAGAAAGTTTAACAACAGATTTTTAAAATTATAAGTTTCTGCTCTAATAGGATACACACATTTCTGAAAAATCTCTTTCTGCAAAATTGCAAATTAAAAATATCAAGCCTAAAGGGAAAATAGCATTAGGGGCAGACTAAAGACAAACCACCAACAATAAGAATTCTAAGAAAATATTAGCATAATTTTAAAAATACATGGCAGATTCCTAGCAAAGAAATGCTAGAGTAAACATAGGATTTTATCTTATTTAAAAGGTGAAAAAGTTAATAAGGAAGGGTTGAGCTTGCTAGGTTGTAAGGACAAGAGGCCAATGGACAAAAAACAGGCAGAAACAACAATAAGGACTTAAACCACAGAGCATGTGACCAACTGAGCCAAAAGATGAATGCGGGATGAACAATCATCATGTCCAGCACAAATTTCCTCTAACTATATCAATGTAATTTGACTTCAGCTGGTGTATTGCTTAGTGGCACAAAATATGGAACAAAATAATTCAATCATTTATGAGTTAATTTATGTTGCAGAAACAAGGCTGTAATAGACAGATTATACCAAAACTTTAAATTATCAAAGTGTTTCTAGATTATGTTGAAAAAATTGAAATTAAAAGTGTCTTACCAAGCCAAGTCACTACTGAGGAGAATTGTCAATATGGGGTGAAAATATGGGTAAAATAATAGGTTTGATAGATACTAAGTGCTCAATAAATGTTAGTAGCAGCTACTACTATTACTTCTGTTGCTACTATCTCTACCAATACAGTAGTCCCCCTTTTCTCTGATTTCAGTTACCCAAGATCAACCACAGTCTGAAAATATTAAATGGAAAATTCCAGAAGTAAACCATTCATAAGTTTTAAATAGCATTTAAATTCCCTTTAAATTTAAATTCTGTTCTGAGTAATGTAATGAAATCTCACATACTCCCAACTCCATCCCTTTGTCCAGCATATCATCTCGCACCATCACAAGAAGAAAGGTGAGTACAGGACAATAAGATACTTTGAGAAAGCGATAATATTTATATGACTTTTATTGTAGTATATTGTTTTAACTATTCTTAGTTATTGTTGCTACTCTCTTACTGTGCTTAATTTATAAGTTAAACTTTATTATAGGTATGTATGTATGGGAGTGGGTGGAAGTATATATAGGGTTTGGTACAATATGGGGTCTCAGGTATCCCCTGGTGTCTTAGAATGTATCCTGCTCAGATAAGGAGGCACTACTGCAAAGACAGAAATTTAAAGAGCTCTGACATAGACACCTGTGGCATAACCAATATCTATTACTCTTTACTTTCTTGCTAACAGAGTTCTGATTTTTGCTCAGGAATCTACCTCTCAGGGAATGTGACCTTAACCCAATTAGAGGCATATCTGGATTAGACTAAACCAATTATAGTAATCTCATTCCTTTTGCCCATGACTGGTTTAAGAGTAGGCATGTGGCCTCATAACCAATAAAACATGAAGAAAGTTAGCTAAGAGAGCAGGGGAGGAGCTTTGGGGTTATGACAAGAACATTTTCAGTTGAAATATGGGGGCAAAAACCTGACAGTAGCAATTTTAGGAGAAAATGAGAAGAGGAATTAGATATAGTAAGTATAGACAACATTTTTGAGGAATTTTGTTACAAAGGAAGATAAGACGTGGGAAAATAACTGGCTGGCTTTTTGTTTTTTCAAGACAGGAGAAATAACAATAGGTTTGTATGCTTATGGAAAAATCTAGAAGACAAGACGTTGAAAAACTATCTACATAATTATGGCATAACCAAGAATTAAAATAGATATAGGGTTAGAGAGTGAAGATAGCAGGTAACGGTCTGATGACATGAAAGTAAAAGCTGTGGTTTGTGTTTTTTGGTTAAATTTATCTTATTGGTTTTTTTGTTTTTTTAA